GCCAGGGCGGCTCCCCGCCCACTCTGCACGCCGCCATGGCGCAGTGCTGGCGGCGCGAGCCCGAGGAGCGGCCCACCTTCGAGTACCTGCAGGCCTTCCTCGAGGACTACTTCACGGCCACCGAGCCCCAGTACCAGCCTGGGGACAACCAGTGACACCGACGGGAGCCGCCTTCGCGCTGGCCTTGCCTTTCCACAGGGCTACGTTGCGCCCTTTGTGCGTGTCCCCTCTGGGGACATTGGGGACGCGCCGGGGCTTTGCGCAAGGACTGTGGAGGTGGGTGGGGGCAGAGCTTTGTCCCCCCGCCCCGGGCCAGGCACAGCCCCTCTCTTGTGGCCTTTGCACCCAGCTTTTAACCGGACAAGCGGCTTTTGTCCCCCCCGTCCCTGTAGCGTAGCCCCACGGTGCCCTTGGTGGCATGGGGTGGCAGCTGGGGATGGGGGACACGCCAAGTCCCCCCCTACATCCTCAGGGCACGTTCAGTAGCATTAGCACAAGTATTTGGGGATGATCCCACCAAACCTGCAACCACCCCTTGCCCAAAGCAGCCTCGAGGACCCCGCGGGTGCCCCCTCCCCAGCTCAGCTCTGTGCAGGCAAAACCTGGCACTGCCCTGGGGAAGCCCCTTCCCGTCCCCGCTGTAACCAATGTCCCCCAGCAGCTTTAATTTATAAGATTTCACCCCCAGGCTGCCACCCACCCCCGCAGGGCGCCCTATATTTGTTGGTGGGGGGTTCCTTCCCCCCCAGCTTTTATCTCCTCTCCTTAAAACGGGGCCAAATCCTGAAAGCCATAAATGCTGCTTGCACTGGAGGGGGGACAAGGGGACCGGGCTGGGATGAGGGGCCAGGGCCGCCAGCAACCCAAACCCAGCTCCATGGGGGGCTGCCCCCGTGCCCTGAGGGGGGCCGGGGGGGGCTGCTGCCCTTGGGGCGCGGTGCAGCCAGCAGGAACGGGGGGGCTAGCAAGGCGCAGGGGGGGCTACTGCAATGCAGCAGTGCAGGAGACCCCGCTTTGTCCCTGGGGTCCGTTCTTGCAGTCTGGGCCCCAGCCCTGCTCCCCTCCACGTGCATTTGGTGCCATGGGGGGCACCCGTCTGCCTGGTGGTGCCAGCCAGGGGGGGGATTTATGGGCAAGGAGGGGGGGTTTTGTTGTCTATAGAGGGAAATAAACCTCTTTCTAAGAAGTGGGGAGGCCCAAGTCCGTCCCACCCTGTCTAATCCCCTGGCAAACAACACCCTGGAAAATCTCATGGAGTGGAGGGGTCCTGCATCGCTTGCAGGCGGTGCCGGGGGTGCCCCCGTGCATCGAGGCTGGCGAGGAAGAGGTTAATCTTCCTCCCGTCCCACCCCAGCAGGGCCCAGCTGGGATGGATTCCCAGCACTGGTGGGAAGGGCGGCCAGGGCAGGTGGAGGAGGGAGGTGCAGGGCCCTTTGCAGCGGGTTTGGGGATGTGCTGCTCCCCCTGGCACTGCTGGCAGCTCCCCTCCACCCAACCTCCCCACAGCGTTTTAATGCCAAACCCACTCCTGGCTGCACCTGGCTGTGCCAGGGCTGCAAACCCCGCAGTGCCGGGCTGCAAATCCTGCAGTGCCAGAGCTGCGAATCCCGCAGTACCCAGGCTGCAAACCCTGCAATGACAGGCTGCAAACCCCACAGTGCCAGGGCTGCAACCCCCCTGGGTCCTCATCAGGGCCTCTGGCGCCCGTCCCCCTCGCCCATCCAAGGGCGAGATTTCTCCTGGGAAGCACCAGGCCGCGGTCCAGGCTGGGCAGGCTGCCCGGAGCCGGGGGGCCGGGCGAGCGGAGCAGATTG